AATCATCATTTCTTTGTGACCTGATGAATTAAAGATATTATTCTTATTTAGAAGTGATAATTTAGATGTTATTGAGAAGGGGAAAATGGTTTGACATATCAGGCAAGTTTTGCCTTAAATCTTTCCTATTAAAKGAATGGTATTTTAAATTCAAAGAGTTTTGATACTGGGAAAGATCTCTGTCTAGAGATATTTTAAAGAAGTGAGATTATGAATATACTTCTTTATATATGATATTGAAAACTGCATATTTGTTATATTGCGGTATCTTTCTAAAGCCAAAATTACATTATCATATTTTGGTATTTGGCACCCTGCATTTGCAAACAGGGGATTTACTCACTAGACCCGTATGGTCTAACCCTCATTTTCTGTTTTAAATTATGCAATGCAGGAATAGCTGGGTCCGGGGATATTAAAGGGAAAGGGAAAATGTGATTATTTTCCTAATCTGTTTCCTGCTTTTGAAGATACATGTTGTAATTCATGTAGTAGTACATGATTAGTTTTGGAATTTTTATATGTRGATTTTGTACATATAGCAATCCGTGTACTAGTGGGACCTTTTGATGTAATCCATGTTTCTATGTAATGAAATATGTGTTTTATGCAAATGTGGAATATGGGGTGTTACATATAAAACAATAATCATAATTAATGAATCTTAGTCATATTCCATAAATATTGAAATCATAATAAATGAACTCTCGTCATTTTCATAAATATCAACATATTCAAAGAAATATTTACCATTCGAAAAGACTCTTAATATTTAAATTTACAACTTAATATTTTACACGTAACTTCATAACCATCGACGACAAGATATGGCACCTCAATGTCGGATCTTCACCGTTTAAACTTCATAAACCAATTCATTCAAATAAACACGTTTAAATATAAGATAAACACTGAATGCTACTTACAAATCATAATATTTTCAGTAAGTTATACATTTGGTCCCTGTGGTTTGTAAAAAATAATAATTTTCGTTCTTACACTTTTAAGATTATAAGATGATCATCGTGGTTTGTAAAAACGTTCAGATTTAATCCCTCTTTTTAACGTCCGTTAAAAAATTCCCTTAAATGAGAGACGTTTTTGTCATTTCATCGTTTTTTTATCTTTCAACCGATCAAAAACCATATGAACCAAAATCATAAAATCGATTCCGATCGAATAAAAAACAATAAAAATCAATAAAATGACAAAAAACACCCTTTGTTTAACGAAATTCTTAATGACCGTTAAATGAAGGGAGCAAATCCGAACATTTTACAAACTACAATAATCATGTTAAAACCACATGGACCAATTTTTTTTTTTTTATTAACCTGGATATCCAACCCACTATGCGAGCCAACTAATCCCAAGACGACCTCCTTTTTCAAATAGCCCGGAGTCACCGTATTTGAACCTCCATGGCCACAAGAGAATTTTTATTTTTCCTCATATTTAAACATGGAATCTCATAATACTTTTGATCTTTGGAGTCAAACTCAAAACAATCAAGCACCACCCTTATTATCTAATATTTTTATATCTCTAATATACTTTATAATAAAATATACCACTGATTTTCCATCCTCAATTTAAAAATAAAATATTAAATTCCACTGCAGGTGAGATGCAGACATCTACTTTATAGTAAATTATTATTATTATTATTATTATTATTATTATAAACATAAATTCTTATATCTTACCCTTCGGAGCACACAACCCTATGGTACAAGATATAAGTAATAAAGCATGTGTGTAACGTGCAAAATCAAGTCTATATAGAGAGAAGCACCACTTTGGTCGTAAGCACATTGCACATGGAAGGCCAACGGACAATGGCTGCTCCGGTGGTTCTCGTGGCGGTCATCTTCATTAATATGATGTTGTTGGGTCAATCTGTTACTTTCAACCGTACTGCATTTCCGTCAGATTTCGTGTTCGGTGCAGCATCGGCAGCTTACCAAGTATATGTGACATGATTACTTTCGATCAAGCTAGATTTTCATAAATTCAACTACTATTTTACGTTTTCTAATCAGATATGATGTTGACTGGTTTTTAAATCGATAAAATGTTAATGGGTGGGTTTGTGTTTGGTGTATGTAGTATGAAGGTGCAGCATTCGAAGGTGGAAAGGGTCCCAGCATTTGGGATACGTTCTCCCACCAATTTTCAGGTTTCGGTCTTCTTGATTTTTCTTTATGAGTAAACCTTTTTTTACTATGGTTTGTTACTATGCGAATTAGTTAAATAATTCATATGTGAATGATAAAGATTCGCATATGAACACATAGTTCATATATGTGAATCAAACAGGTTCGTATATGCACTTGTTTTGTCGTCTATTTGTAAAAGTTACGAAACTACCCCTCAATCTTCCGCATACCATGCGAGGAATTCTCCGGTTTTTCACAGTCAACACTGCAAATCTTGACCACATGAAAGACTAGGATCACTTCTCTCTTCTCAAATACTTACCATTTCTCAAATGAACCTATGACTATATATAAATATAAAAGTGAGGTTCAAAGGAAAACACTAAAAAAAAAATTAAAAACCAAGAAACATATTGATAACTATTTATCTGTATGATTCTGCATACAAGTAATTGAAAATGTTTCCTGGAATCTATGTATGTGTGCAATGTTATGTACATGTACATAACAAACTAATTGTTTGTATACGTGTGCATACCATATAAATTAATAGTAACTAAGATGTTTCTCAGTTTTCTATTTTTTACCGTATTCCGTGAACCTGATCAAATAACTTAATGGGTTTTATTAGTTTTAGTAACGGGTCAAGTTAATTAAGTACCTGTCAATAAATTTTTTTCTCCATTTTTTCAATAGTTTATGTATTACATCCCGTCACGTTGAGAACTCCTTCCATTGACTTTTAGGTTAATATCAATTAATATTATGTTTTTTTACATTTAAACGTTTGTTGTCAATCAACTTTTTATTCCTATAGGATTAGTGGAGACGTACGGAAGTTAATCCGAGTCACCTAATCAAAACATTTTGTCCAAGTGAAAAAGACAATTTTTTAAGTAATTAATGTATTAAATATGATTATACAAATTATATTAAGAGTAAATTACGTTTTTAGTCCTTGTGGTTGGTTGAAAATTTCTATTTTCGTCCTTATGGTTTTAAAATTTTAGTTTTCATCCCTATGGTTTATAATTAATTATCTTTTTCATCTTTATGATTTATATTTATCACTTTTTTTGTTCTTATGGTTTAAAATTCATTTCTATTTTAGTTATTCGTACTTAAAAGCAGTATTTTGGACTCAATGATTGAAATAGAAATGAATTTCAAACCATAAAGATGAAACTCAAATTTTAAAACCATAAGAACGAAATCAACAACTTTAAGCAAACCACAAGAACAAAAAAACGTAATTTACTCTTTTATAAATGGATCAGAATTCCAATCTCTAAGTAGTTTATGGTTTAGTTTGATTATCTATTTTTTAGATTCTGATCAGATGGTGTTGATTTTTTTGTAATCAATTTATCGATATAGTTACCATTGTGTTTGCAGGAAAGATAATAAACGGAGATAATGGAGATGTAGCGGACGACTTTTATCATCGTTACAAGGTATGACGTGTGTGTTTCTTGTAAACGATGTTTTGAACTAACATGATTTAAGAATTAAGATTCTTGTTGTTATGGCATAAGATTATGTTCTTTAAAAAAACTATAAAATGACTTCACGCTTACCCATGTAAATAGTCGTCAATTATCATAAAACTTTTATTTCAGGGCTAAATGCGTAATTATCTTAACAAATTTTCTCATTACAACATTGTACATTTTTATTACAGCAACGATGTACTTTCATTTTTTTTTTATTAAAGCATTTACAATTTGAAAAATATATTCATTATAGCAATTGAGAAACCTTTTAATTTAATTTAGATAACATTACAGTTACCATGTTTTCAGATAATGTCGTTATCCACGTGAGATGTCCATGTATAACATATTGCTGACGTGTCGTTTTTTTGGAAGACTAATCCCGACAAACTTTGACTGCAATAAATAATTCATAATAAACTTAGTTACCACAATTGTTGTTTACGCTAGGAATGGAATCCTAAGTAGTGGGATATTCGACCATATCTTACAGGTCCTCAACCAGTACACCACAACCCTTGTGGTTGACGTGTCATTTCTTATTACAACATCAAAACAATATCTACAAATACTTTAGTCACTTTTTTCATATTCTTTTTTTCTAAAATATATTTAAATCCAATATGTATTTATTGCTTTTTGTGCCTATACATTACTTTCAAAAATTTGATTTTTATATATTTACTATTCAATCATTGTAGTTTGGTTTTATTTATTTCAAATTGGTGGTAAGGGATTTAATGCACTGCTTTTTGTTTATGATATTGAAGGCAATATTTTTATATGTTATTTTATTTTGAATTTTTTTTATATAAATTAGAAATATATATTATTATTTAAAATAAACTATAAATTTGGTCCTTATAGTTTTCAAAATTACACTTTTCGTTCTTTTAGTTTCAAAATTATAAGTTAATCATAGTGGTTTATAAAAACGTCTGGACTTCGTCTCTCTCTAGCAGTCATTAAAAAGATCACGTTAAATGAAAGAAGATTTTGTAGTTTTATCGATTTTTTTGTTTTTTACCCAATCAAAAACCACAAGACAAAAATAATTAAATCAACCAGGTAAAAGACAAAGAAATTGATAAAAAACAAAAATGACTCTCATTTTAATAGTCGTTAGAGAAAAAGACCAAATCTAAATATTTTTATAAACTATGATGGTTATCTGATAATTTTAAAATTACAAAGATAAAATAATATTATTTCTGATAAGGGGGTGTTTGGGATTGTTTATTTGAAACAACTTATACTTTTCTACAAAAGCATTTATCAACTTATTATAAATCAGAAAGGTTTAACTTCTTCAAAAACTCATTATTATTGGTTTGACACCAGTATAAGTTATTTATTCAAACACTCAAAAATGCTTATTACCGATGTCATACTGAAATAAGTCAATAAATTATTTTTATAAGTAATCCCAAACACCCTTTAATAATGACAGATCCACCACGACACCTCTAGTCCACGCTTTCTTTCAAAATGTTATGGAGCATATATCATTTCATATCTATCTCCATATCTCAATTTATCTCAAAGACAAATACATACGTAAACTAATTAATGTAATTGTTAAGAAAAAATATTTATAATTTTATAGTTTTAAAAATATTTAGTTTAATATTTAATGTCGACATGATGTATATAAAATCTAATATATTTCATAACTTACATTACATAATATATATATATATATATATATTATATACATTTTGAAGCTATAAAATTTTAAATGTATTTAAAAAAATATTATTCAATATAGAATTCAATAATTATATTTTCTTTTTGAGCAATTATTGTGTTATTTTGTCTATCAATCAATTCATAGTCATGACTAAAAAAGACTGATACCAACAAAACACATGACAAAAGGAACAGTGGCCAGTGATCATCATTACCACCGGATCCATTAGCGGAAAATTCCATCGGTAATCCACATCCCCTTGGAGATGCCCAGTCGGTCGGATATTTTCAACGAAAAAAATCAAATAAAGGAACCCCAATATTTTATAAATCCAAGGGTAGACCTATGTATGTCCAACCTATATCCCATGTACCCGTTCAATTTATTTTTGCAATATTTTTTAGGTATGAAAAGTGCACCGGTAAACTTTGAAGGGTGCTTTGGATCTTAAGAATATAAGAAAAATCAACCAAAAAACTGTAAAAAGTACCTCAAAAGCAACAAAAAAACGTAAAAATTAATTGTAATCAACCAAAAACCTCAAAAAATCCCCCAAAATGGTTGAATTCAACTAAAAACACATTCGGCTTACTTTACAGACCTTTGATCCGCCTTGTAAGTTTATCATCTTAGCAAAAATCTTCAAATTGCAACTGTTATAGTACATTACTTTTTATTATGAAAAATAAGGATTAAAAAATAGATCGTGTTTTATATATTAATTTTTTTTCTCACATATATCAACATCAAAAAGTATATTTTACATTCAATATTTATAAATAAAATATGGATTTAATTTTAGATGTAATATAAAAAATAATAAAAAACGACAATAGTTGTTGTAGGCCAATAATTAATTTGGCATGTTCTTTTAGCTTTTTTTAATATATAAATCCTGAATCACGTTTTTATTCACAGAAATAATTTGTTGATAGACCAATTTATTGTTTGAGTCAAATTATGGGTCGTTTACCGAATACTTAACTGGTAAACGTTTATTGGTAAAATTTAACATTATCATTTACTTATCGGATAAGATTTTAATTCACAAAAAATACATTATATGCTTATCGTAGTAAGAGTCATCGACCTCACTTACCGGGTAAGACTCTAGTTCTTACCTTGCTCTTACCGGATAAGATTCTTGGTCCTTACTATATTCATCCAGTAAGGTAATTTGACTTGGTAAACTCTTACCCACGTAAACGTTTCGTAAATGACCCCTACGTTATTCAACTTTGCTTTATCAACTAAAGATATAATTCGTTAGCTTACTAAATTAATTGCAACGTTTTCGTATAAGATATATAGTTATTGGTCTTTTAAATTTAAAAACCACAGTGGAAAAATTGTCTATATAAATTAATATGTATGTATAAATTTGAAAGATTTTTTTTTTGGGAATGTCTTTTTATAAGTGGAAAAAGCTGTTTTTGGGAGGGGTTGGTTTGAAAAAAGTTTAGCTTTATGCATAAACCCCCTTTAAAAGCTTACTGAACAAGCTAATTTCTATATTATTAAACCATGTATAGTTGATCGAATAAGTTGTGAGTCCTATTAAACTCATTAAGCTGCTAATAAACAGATTCTAAGGGGCTGTTTAATAAACGCTTACCTGGTAAGTGTTTACCGAGTAATTTTTCTTATTTGATCAACATGGCAAGAGTTAAAAATCTTACCCAACAAGAGCAATATTAAAGATGGAGAGTCTTACTCGGTAAGTGAGGGTGACGACCCATACCCGGTAAATTGTTGCATACGCTATCATTTTAATGTACTACAATCTTACCCAGTAAAATAAATTATAGTCTTGACTCCTAACGATAAGTGATTACCGGGTAAACATTTAGGTAAACGGCCCCTAAATATTTTATTATTACGATTGAGCATGTTAATTATTAATATGCTATTTTGTTGTAGTGTTTTCTAAGATGTACAATATTTATATATAACAATACTACTTCTAAATCATAACTATAGATATATTGACTTTTAAATAGTTCAAGATTTACCAATAATTTGAATAACACTAAGCGAATCACCTTTTTATTTTATTTTATTAAACTGGATATCTAATCCGCTATGCGAGTCGACTATTCTCAGGACGACCACTTGCTTTGCGGGTAGCCTGGAGTCATCGCATTTGAACCTTCATGACCACAAGAGCATTTTTATTCCTCATTGGATTTGAATCTAGGACTTCCGGACATTTTTGACCTTTAGAATCAAACTTAAACCAATCAGACACCACTCTTATGATTAAATGAATCACCTTCTGATTTCGTTGGAAATGATATAAAATGTTTCATATTTTATCTAAAAATTATAATAGTTTCAATTAGTTTTAAACATATATAAGAAAGAAAATGGAAAGGAGTTAGTTTATAAAAAAAAATATAAATTTGTTATTATTATTTTTCTGTTATTATTATTATTACAAATAAATCTCTTTTTGAAATAAACTGAAATGCAACATTTATATGTTATAATGTTTCATAACTTAAAACTAATAATAAATCCGAATAACACAAACTATAAAACATGACCATATTTTTGTGGTCTGGTTTTATTAGTTTAGGAGCCGTTTACCAAACGTTTATCTGGGTAAACACTTACTAAGTCACATTACCTTACCTGATGAATATGATAAAGACCAAGAATCTTATCCGATATGAGCAAGACAAAGACCAAAAGTCTTACCCGGTAAGTGAGGGCGACGACCCTTACCATGGTAAACGCTTACCGGGTAAATTGATGCATACGATACTGTTTTGATAGACTAAAATCTTACCCAGTAAATAAATGATAGTGTTAAATTTGATCGGTAAGCACTTACCAAATAAGTGTTTGATAAAACGGCCTCTTAGTCAGTTTATATGCCCCAAGCGGTTTGGAAAATTTCTAAAATCACACTTGCAATTTGGTTTGTAAAAAAGATAATTAGACTGGGTAGGCCAAACTGCAAAACTTATGGATTGGTTAATATTTTGAAATTCAATAGGATGACGTGAAACTGATGGATGATATCGGACTAGATGCTTTCAGATTCTCCATCTCATGGGCCCGTGTTATACCGAGTAAGTACTGCAAATTGTCGATGGCTTAACGGGTATTAATGGACTCTTGAACTGTTTTAATAAAGAAAACTGAAAGTACAATATATAATAAAAAAACTTATAAAAGTAGGTTACTATTTTATACATTTTTCTCTATTAATTTATTCAAATGGCATTCAGGTGGAAAGTTAAGTGGAGGGGTAAACAAAGAAGGTGTAGCCTTCTACAACAATGTCATTAATGAACTCCTCTCCAAAGGCATCAAACCATTTGTGACAATCTATCACTGGGATCTTCCACAAGCACTACAAGATGAGTATGGTGGCTTTTTACACCCACAAATAATGTGAGTATATATTTTAAGAGGGTTATTTAAATGTCACTATAACGAAATTGAGTTTATAGGACGTCATCAATTTTAAAGCGTTCTATTAGATTACTTTATAGAACTGAATTTATAGGACCAAAAAATAAAAGGTCCTGTCTAAAAGCGTTGTAATAAGTTTACATAACGTTTTTGGGTGTCTTTATAAGTTTTATAGGATACTTTTAATACAAAGTGTCCAATTACCTATTTTATAGGACACTTTTGAAAATGTGTCTTATAAACTCATCTTTTTAAAGGACACTTGTTTCTATAAGACATTATTTCAAATAATATCATATAAAATAGCTAATGAGACGCTTTGTATTAAAAGTGTTTCTATAAAACTTGTTAAGACGCTAAAAAGCGTCTTATAAACTTATTACAACGCCTTTAGATAAGACCCTTTATTTTTTGGTCGTACAATGAGTCCTATAATTCAGTCTATTAGAACGCCTTGAAATTGGTGGGGTCTAGGAATAGCAACGGGCTCGGTTCGGGCTTGTTATTGGTATCCCCGTCTGCGAAACCGATAACTAAAACCGTCCCTGTAACCGCCCTGATCCCATCGGGTCCCCGCGGTTTTCCCGATCCCCGTTGGGGAACCTGTTAAGGGTAAAAATCCCCCATTTTACCGTGGTTTCCCTGTTCGCCGTTGGTTATATCCGAACACGAACCCCGAACCGATCTGAAATAAATTACAATATGTTAATTTTCACAATTAAAAGTAAATTACAATTTTTTTAAGATGTAAGTCAAATGTCTCAAACATAATCAAACCAATTTCAAACAACATATTAGATTACAATAGAAAAGTAAATAAAAATTCAAACATCATACAACGAACATCACGATTTCATAATTAGACAAATAAACTAGACTTTTTCAATTCGTGGGTCTTATTTGGGGTGTTGAGCTAAAATGGATAAAAATCTTTTAAATTTTTAATGTTAGTATTTTCTTTTATATATATATATATTAATATATACACACATATCAAGCCGGACAGGGCTGGTGATCCCCATCCCCTAACCCGTTAAAATCCTCGAATATGTCCCCGATCCCCGCCCTGTCTCCGATAAGATATCCCTGAACCTGACTCGAAAGTTTCAATTTTCGGTTTTCACTATCGGTTTCGAGTTTTTTTTACCATTTCTAGTGGGGTCCTATAAACTCAATTTTGTTATACTATGCGCTTTTAGTTATTATTGAACCTTCAAAGTTTTTTTATTTAGTTTAATAACAATCATCAGGTTCAAAACAGTATCATCCTATCTAGGTCAAAACATTTTCTTCTCGTAAAAACTTATATAGGAGTCGTTTATCAAACACTTATCTGGGTAAGTACTTACCAACTCACATTACATTATTGAATGAGTATGACAAAGACCAAAAATTTACCCGGTAAGAACAAGACAAGGACCAAGAGTCTTACTCGATAAGTGAGGTCGACGACTCTTACCATGGCTAGCGCTTACCGGGTAAATTGTTGCATAAGATCCTATTTTTGTTGACTAATATCATACTTGGTAAGTAAGTGATAGTGTTAATTTTTACTGATAAATACTTACGGATAAATGTTTAGTAAACGACTCCTTATCCTTATTTTAGGATAGCTTGTTGGCCATAGCCTCATAATATGTTACATAACAAGATTTTAAGTTTATAGGTATTAGCGAATGTGCATCTTATGTTATGATAATACAACATGACATAAGTGACCTAACAAGTTCTATCAACGAAATTGGGTAATCAAATACGACACAATAAATAAATCGGTTTATTAATTAGCCTGGTTACAAGACAAATTTGAATAATGTCCAGCATAACAAATTTTATAAAAATGCTAATAGAATACTTTTTAACAGTCACGTCTTATAAAAAGTTTATATGGACAATTTACTTTTTAAGTGGTAGTTGGTACAACTTGCTAGGGGACATAATTTCATCGTGACAACTTATTGTAACGACCCACAGTTATCGGTCATATATACTTAAAATCTCATTAAATACTCTATTAGGACGTTGATTGAACATCTATAGTCTATCATTCACAACTTCAATTCGAGCGGGACGTTTTGGTTATATCAACCGATGATTCTTGTGTAGGAAGGACTTCCAAGACTTTGCGGAATTGTGCTTCAAGGAGTTTGGGGATAGAGTAAAGCATTGGATTACGATGAACGAGCCCTATGTCTTCATTGTTAATGGTTATGAAATGGGAGCTCTTGCCCCCGGGCGATGTTCTTCATGGATGAATAACAGTTGCCCGGCTGGGAATTCTGCCACTGAGCCTTATATCGTTGCACATTACATGCTTCTTTGTCACGCCCTCACCGTTAAACTCTATAAACAAAAGTACCAGGTCAAGATTTCATAAACATATAACAAAAATGATACATATATATATATATATATATATATATATGTATATGTATATATACTCAACAACATACATGACTTGTTCACCATTGTTGATGAATTGGTGCATTTTGTGTAGGCTTCTCAAAAAGGTGTGATCGGAATAACGCTAGTATCCCACTGGTTTATTCCATATTCTCCGAGGAAAGCGAACAAAAAAGCAGCACAACGAGCCCTTGATTTCATGTTAGGATGGTAAGTGATATACATACCGTCGGGGTCTCAGTAGTCTTACATCGGTTAGACAGTGGCTATCAAACTAGAGATTAGAACACTACAACAAAATTGGGTTTATAGGAAGCCATCGGTAAAGCGTCCTAATAGACTACATTATAAGACTTAAACTATAGGGCCAAAAATATATATCATCTTATCTAAAGGCGTTAAGTTGTAATAAATTTATAGGATATTTTTGAACATCTTAACAAGTTTTTTTAGGACAATTTTAATACAAAGCGTCACATTAGCTATTTTATAGGAAACTTTAGAGAAAATGTCCTATAAAGCCATCTTTTTATAGGATACTTGTGTTTAAAGTACACTTTTTTAAATATTGTCCTATAAAATAGTTAATATGACGTGTTTTTTACAAAGGTATCATAGCAAACTTGTTACGACAAGCAAAAACATCCTATAAACTTATTACAACACCTTTAGATATGATGCTTAATTTTTTGGTCCTATAAATTATTTCTTATAAACTGGTCAATTAGGACACTTATTTATTGTTGGCGTCATATAATACCAATTTTGTTGTAGTGGAACATGGTGTTAGAGCATGGACAGACCTATAGTGGTGCATATAATGGCACGTGCCACCGTATTATTCTTCCGTCGAAGGGTAAATTTTTTTAGGTTCGTGAAAGGTGCAACCGTATTAATCTGTTGTGTGCCACCATATGTACTTTAAAACTACAATGAGAACAAGTTTTATTTGGTAGAGTTGGTTTGTAAGACTTTTATTCCACCCGAGACCCAAGTTAGAATCCTGTTAGTGTCATTTTCTTAGGCAAATGGTGCCACCGTTTGAAAAAATTCCGTATATAGTGGACGCTCTGGTAGGGACGTACCCAATTTTTTTTTTCAAATGATGATACAATTTAGCTATAAAAAACAAATATAGGGAAAAATTCAAACGATGACATCATTTGACAATAAGAAACAAATATAAGAAAAAAATGTTCAAACAGTGACACCAATTGACCATAAGATACAAAAATAGGGAAATTTTTTAAACAGTAGCACCATTTGATTAAAAAAAATTAAAAAATAAAATTCAAACTTGAGTCTGGGATGGAATAAAACCCTTGCAAACCAACATTATCAAATAAAACTTATTCTCATTGTAGTTTCAGAATACATACGGTGACATACAACAAATTAACACGGTTGCAACTTTTATGAACTTAAATTTTATTACCATTCGACAAATAAATAGTACGATGTCACGTACCACAGTTGACACCACTGTAGGTCCGTCCATAAGCACTGGAGTTCATATATATCAACTAGATAGTACATCTAAACCTAGCTTCGTCTATACAAGGGCTCTTGCCGAAAAAGATTGAAAAGATCTCACATATTCTATTAGTTACTCGGTTTATTTAATTAGAAGGGTATTTGTACAGTGCAATGCATCGAGATACATCTTAATTTCAATGTTTCGTTTTATTCTTTTTTTTATGTTGATATAATACGGTTTTATGTGGTTTTGAGAAAACGATGATGTTTTTATTCTTTAGTAAAATATAAATTTGAAAAATAACATAAAAATCTGGAAAAAAATATATATAAAAGTTCTTTTTTTGTGTAATTTCTTTAATTCAATTTTTTTTGTTATAACTTAATTTAGGTTTATTGACGAAGTAATTTAATTTAGGTTTAATAATTATAATCTTTTATAAAGATAATAATTAAATATTCTGTTAAAACTCAATGATTATCTTAATTATATTTTAGATTTTTTACATTTAAAATAAGATGCTTATCTTCTATTTGATTATGTTTATCTCTAGTTAGTTACACGAATACAAATATGGAGTTTTAATAAGATGTACTTACGCATAATTTACTTACTAGAAGAGTACTCGCGCAATGCAACAAAATACATCTCAATTTTGATGTTTCATTTTATTTTGTCAACGTCGTTGTTATAATATGCTTTTATGTGGTAATGAAAAAACGATAATATTTTATTTTTTGAATAAAGTATAAAATTTGAATGTATCATAAAATTAAAAAAAAAAATGTATCAACTTTAATATTAAATTAAACATTTAAAAGTTCTTGTTCTTTTTTTTTGTGATTTCCTTCATTTAATTTTTTATTATAATTTAATTTAGATTTAATAATTAAGCCATTTATTTTTTGTTTAACAATATAAGTTTTTTATAGAGATAATAATTAAATATTTTGTTAAAACTCAATAATTATCTTAATTATATTTAGAATGAGATGTTTATCTTCTATTTGATTATATTTATGGACAGTTAGTTACACAAATTTAAATATGAAGCTTTAATAAGTTTTACTTATGCACAATTTACTTGTAATCTTGAATTTTAAGTAATATGCATCAATAAACAGTAATTCATGCATAAAAACGGTTTTTAAGAGTTTTTGTCAAATGCTTTATAATATAGTATAAATAATCTTAAATTTTAAGTAATATGCATCATTAAACAATATTATGTATATTAAAAAAATGATTTTTAATTTTTTTTTATCAAATACTTTATAATATAGTATAGATACAGATAACTATGGTCGAGTTTTATATACATTTGTTTGATTGCAAATGGATAGGTTCATGGACCCTTTGGCTTTTGGCGAGTACCCACAAAGCGTCCGTCACTTGGTGCAAGGAAGGTTACCAAAATTTAGTCCGGAAGAATCAAAGCTCGTTAAAGGATCCTTTGATTTCATTGGAATCAATTACTACACATCAAATTATGCAGCTGATATTCCTTCTGCCAACACTATCCATTTCAGTCCTTCTACCGATGGTCGAACGAATCTTACCGGTACGTTTCCAAAGTAACCAGTTTTGTATAGTTCGGTAACGTGGGTGTCTTGGACAGCTTAATTAGTACACACGTGGAATAAATCCCATGGGGCTAAACACTACTAAATGGAAGACTTTTACCTACGGATTTTTTCCCTTGCAAAACCCGTCATTAAAGGGGTTTCATCACAAAACCGTCACAAAAGTTGGTGGGTATTTCGAATCAACGCCGATTACCCAGGTTTTTCTTGGGTGATCAATTGGTATTTTCTTGAAAAATATTAGATATAAAACAGTCTATTAGGATATTTGGACATTTTTGACATCTGTAATTAAACTCGATTTTGTTGTAGTGCATGTTCAACTTTTCCTGTCGCGTAAACTAACATCAATCTTTCGGTTTTTATAACAGCGTATAGAAACGGGAGACCTATTGGCACGCCGGTGAGTTCATTTCCAAACCTTTTCGCGCCAAGTCTTTTTATCCAAATATAACGATGGGATATCGATACGATTTCAATCGATTAGCAACATTTCACTCTTTTATCCCAACTAATTTACAAAGAGTTTTGATTGATGTTTACTTGTGCAGTCCGACGTGAGTATTTTCTTCGTTTATCCGAAAGGTCTGTGTGATCTTCTCGTCTACATGAAAGAGAAGTACAACAGCCCGACCATCTACATAACAGAAAACGGTATATCGAAAACTCGAACTGATCGACCATAGATTTTCCTGAAATTATACGAAATCATACATTTGCTTTCTCGAATTCTTTGACAGGATATGGTGATGCCGATAATGGGATAGTGAAGCATGGCGTCAATGATACAGCAAGAGTCAGTTTCTATTATAGACATATCTTGGCTGTTAAGGATGCTATGAAGTGAGTTTAAAATGTCACCTTTGCGTATTCACTGGTGTGTGTGTATATATATATATAGAGAGAGGGGGTTGGGTTCACGTGAGACCAAGGGCTTTTCGTGAGACACGTAATACCAGTTTATGTTCATTGATCAACTTTATAAGCTAATGATCTAATGGTCTAAAGTTGCACRRTRRCAATTTTGTGATTATTGAGAAGTCTCGTGGCAATTTTGTGATTATGAATGTTCAGATTGTAGATCTAATCCAAGGGTTGAGAATTGCTCTTACGGGTTTCAAAAAACCCTTGGTCTCACATGATCCCAAGTCTATAGATATATATAGATATTATAAATATAGGTTTAGGATCATGTGAGACCAAGGGTTTTTCGTGAGACCCCTAATACTAATTCTCAACCCTTGGATTAGATCTACAATATGACAATCTGAACATTCATAAACGCCACGAGACTTCTCAATAATCACAAAATTGCCACCGTGCAACTTTAGACCATTAAATCATTAACTTATAAAGTTGATCAATGAACGTAAATTGGTCTTACGGGTCTCACGAAAAACCCTTGGTCTCACATGAACCCAACTCTATAAATATATATTATAGATATAAACCACCTATATATATTAGAAAAGTTCGGTTGCCAACGTGAAGTGAACTGGGAGACAAAGAAGAATGCGACACGTGTATCCGGGTGTCCACATTCATCATGAATAATGAAGGTGAACATTCGTGAATTATTCATGATTAATAACCCGTGAATGTATCACACACTTGCAGGCGCACTATCCTTTGTTCGGTTCACAAATTTAGAACTTGTTTGCAACCGAAACCGCCATATATATATATATATATATATATATATATAGAGAGAGAGAGAGAGAGAGAGAGAGAGAGAGAGTCGGGTTCATATGAAAATGATACATATTTAAGAAAATGGCCGAATCACATGTGATTTTACACTAACATCACCTACAAAATCACATGTGATACACGTAACCTTGCCACCCGGCCATAGGGTCGCCCGCACATTTTTTTTGACGGTTAATGTAAAATCATATGTGATTTTGTATGTGACTTGGTCATTTTCTTATTTTCTTAAATAGGTACAATTCTCATATGAATCAACCTCTATATATATATCATCGGGTTTATAGGACGGACAAAAATATCTTAGTATCCTAATAGAGTCTGCTTTACAAAACCAAACAATTATGCATCGTATATAAAAGCATTGCAATAAATTTATAAGATGGTTTTTGACGTCTTAACAAATTTTTTATGACACTTTAAAATAAAGTGTCGTATTATCTTTTTTACAGGACATTTTTGAGAAATATTCTATAAACCCATATTTTATAGCATACTTTCTCAAATAATGTTATATGAAAAAACTTGTTAAGGTGCCTAAAAGCCTCATATAAATTTATTACAACACTTTTATATATGATACATAATTGTTTGGTCTCATAAACTTAAGCTCTATAAATTAGTATATTTTCAACGTCCTAAAAACTTGATTTGTAGTGTGTTTAGTTGCTTATAGATTGATGGTTTGGCATGCAGGAAAGGGGTAAATGTGAAGGGGTATTTCCCATGGTCGTTTCTCGACACATACGAATGGGGTTCGGGATACAGCCAAAGGTTTGGCATTGTTTACGTCGACTACAAAAACGACATAACACGATACCCGAAGAACTCAGCTATGTGGCTCAAGAAGTTCTTGGGTAACAATTAAGTGAAATGTGGTTCAAATCGATTTGCAGTTGAATAAATTGTATCTTCGTGTTTGTGGGTTCTTGCAATAAATTGGATTGTAGATGTTGAATGTGTACACGTTCATAATTATACACATTTAATCTTCAATTTTCTTATTGACATATGTGTTTAAATGCTTTGTTTTACTTCTATCATTTCTCTTAATATTTCTCGTGGCGATAAAGCGATATGACTCAATTGTCACGGTTTTCATTATACGCGTGAGACGGTTGTAACTAGGGAGACGTAGGGTTACATCTATATACAATTTTTACGGTTGTAACTCATCTCTTTATAGGACACTTATATTTATAGAGCATTTTTTCAAGTTGTGTTCAATAAAATAACTAATAACACGACACTTAATTTATTTTAAGAGAATTTTTTTAAAACATCCAAAATAGTTCTTTAAATTTATTGTAACATCTTTGGATACACAAAACTATTTTATATTTCTATAACACAAGTTTTATAAAATACTTTATTAGGATACTTACGTGTTCTAGGCATTCAATAAATCTAATTTTGTTGTAATGTATAGGCTTACAACTATATACAATTTACATTGTAATTAACCAACAGAGTAAAGATGAACACATAGTTTTACTTAGAGCAGTTCAATGATCCACGTATGTTTGCTAAGCCTTGTCAGTAATTAATCACAGGGGAGGACCTATTAAGCGCTAACCAGAGTCTCCTGCACCAGATCCACTTATTTTCCTAACTGGAGTTTTTTTTTGGGTATGAAAGATGCACTCGTTAAAATTTGAAGGTTGCTCCGGGATATTTCAAAATACAAAGAACATCGACCAAAAAATCGAAAAGTCGCTTGAAATCAACCAAAAAACCGAAAAAGTCCATTGAGATTAACCAAAATCCAAAAAATCCGTTGAAATCAACAAAAAGCTTAAAAAATCGCTCGAAATGGTAGAATGTAGCTAAAAACACATCGGACAACTTGCGGGCATTTGGTTCACCTTAAAGGTGCATTCGCTCAGGAAAAAAACTCGGGTCTGTGACTGGTCAACCAATTCACTATAATCACTAGTTAATGTGATGACCGGATTTTATGGCAACAACACTTGGAGTAAATCTTATATGATTATTATTTGATTATGTAAAAATATGCTTATGTGAATGTATGAGTTATTGATAAATGCCGTATGTATGCATGATTAGTATACATGATTTGTGGCATTAGAGGTATGTGCATAAATTAAAGTTTATGCAAATATTATTATAAGGTGTGTGCATATTCTTAAGAGAGGTTTAATATATTTATTCCTCCACCGCCTTTGAGAATTTTATAATATAAAACCTTTTGCACCGCCTTGGTTTATATAAAATATATAAGGGGATAAAATTAATTATATCTCACTTATCTTCTTGAAAAAAAGAAAAGAGGGTGGCGGTGAAAGTGGGTTTTTGAAAGAAAAACCTACATACAAGTGATTTGAAGAATCTGTGGTTATTGGAAGAAATTGTTGTTTGATTTATTTGCAAATCTGTGTATATAAGGTGAGTTTTGTTATTAAAATTCTTATATGTTGATATTTGAAGTATATGGATTTCGGTAGATGATCTTGCTGAAGAAAGGAAACTGTTTTAGCAGTTGATTTGAGCTTTATGAATCTGGGTTTTGAAACTATTTTTGTAATATAAAGAAGTATCTACTTCTTTCAAAACAGTTGAGATGATATTCTATTTTAAGGAATAAAGGGTTTTGAGTTTTGAAAAGCGGATTCAAGAACTACTGGTTCTTGAGTTTCAAAGTTTTGATATAAAAGTGTTTTGAAACTGTTATTGGCTAAAACTATAGATTATGTTCCTTCAGGACGGTTGTGACTTCAGTCTGTTCTGATTGGAAATAATATGTAGATTTTGATGAAGAAATAAGTGTGACATATCAAGGAGATGTGTACCATGATATAAGGGTGGCATATCAAGGAGWGGTGTACCTTCGGATATAAGGGTGACATTTGTGTGTGTGATTATTATTATTATAGCTCAAACTGTTATATCCCTCAATATTGCAATGGTTATGAGTCCTTATTTCTTTGTGATTTGAAGATTCAGGAATATTGCTCTTATTGTAAATGATAGTAATGATGTTATTGAAAAGAGGAAAATTAGCTTATGGCCAGAGGTTTGGGATAATCGTGCTTTTGATTAAAAGTGTTTGGAAAAGAGTTATGTGGAACCAGAGAGGCTTTAGTTGTTCTGTAATCTATTCAAGAGGAATTTTGGGTTGATCTTTAGGGACAATCGAAAAATCTCTGACTATGATAAAAGTCTTTATTATCAAATCTTTAACTAGACCCAGAGGTTCTGTGTCATAAAAAATTGTATTTTAAACTATTTTTTATAATTCTTTCTCTTATTCAAACTTAGAATTTATTTGTACGGAATTTCTTTGGCAAAGCAAGACGAGCCAGAGGAGCTCTGGCTGTTCTTTGCATTTAAACCAGAGATTCTGGTTAGTAGGACAAGAGGCTATGGTCATACAAATTTTCTAACTACACTTTTCTTTATACTTGGAAATTTGATTTGCATCTTTTTTATGTACATAACTTTACTCTGGTCATTGAACTAGAGGATCAGCCTTTTATATATAAGTGTAAACTTAATTTGAGAGAAGAACTCTGGTTGGTAGGACCAGAAGCAAAGGTCAATGGAACCAGAGGGGCTCTGGCCCTGATGTTTAATAAATGAACTTTCCTTAAGTCAAATCTGGTCATTAGAACCAGAAGGGCGTTGGTCGTCATGAACCATGAGATTATGTTTCTGTTTATATGAAAAGTTGATTTTAAATAAAGTTTTGGTAATCTTCACCCTACAATTACAAGAAAAAAGGGATCTCACTAGACCTTCAGGTCCAACCCTCATTTTCTCTTTCAAATATATATTGCAGGAATAGTTGGGTCACTTGATAGTAAGGGGAAGGGGAAAATGTAATTATTTTTCTATGTGCATAATTATATGAAGATTAGCTTATGGATGAATGTAGTTTTGAAGATATATGTTATGTAGTACAAGAACTTGTATTTTGGAATTTTTGGATTGTGTATTTTGTACATTAATTTCTTGTACCATGGGACCTAAGTGGAGTAATACATGTATTTCTTTGAATGAAATATGAGTTATATGCAATATGTGATGTGGGGTGTTATAGTTAAGTTTATAAAACAAAGACATTGCAAAATAAGAAATTTTGAAGTTTTTGACACGACAACACCTTATATTCTTACACGGGTGTGTGTAATGTAACTTTGCAAAATAGAAAGTTTTGGGTGTCTAGACATGGCCACACCTTATATTCAAGCACACGGATGTGCATAATATTATTTTGAAAAACATAAAGTTTTGGGTGTTATGATATAGCTGCTCATTTTGATTAAACGTGAAGGGGCATAGTGTTATTTCGTGAACAAATTTTCTTGGGTCTTTAGGCACGACCGCACCTAATTAAGTTTGGCCATGCGCGATGATAAGTATGATTTTTCTAATGTTTTAGCATTGGGATCAAATCGGGACTCCACCTATAGATTATTATAAATAAATCGCTTTAGTTCAATCATGGCATTGAACAAAATTGAGAGCCTAGAAACCCTAGTTTGAGTAAAGAAAATATTGAGAGACTTAGTGTTCAGTTTGTAATTTCTCTTTGGTGTTTTGGTGTTCTTCAGCAATAAGTTCCTCCTCTTTCTTGAAGACGTACATCACCATACCAAAGGTGGAACCACATAAATTTTTGTGTTTTGTATGTTTTCAAAGTTCTTTGGTTGATCGTGCATTGTGCTTTGAATCCTATTTGTTTTCCGCATTAGTTGTTGGTTGGCATCACATATTTGATTGTTGTTGAATAAAGTTCATTACTTTATTTGCTTTTTGGGACCTTTGTGGTGCCCAAAACCCCAACTTAGAGACTCTTAACCTGATGATCAACTCAGCAACACAAAGACCTCGGCAACATAAAGACCTTGGCCTACCTATGGATCCACCTTTGACTCAACCTCTTCTACATTGTTCAATTATGAATCTGCTACTGTTCAAACATTCCCGCTTAAAGTCTGTTAGAGCACTTTACACATGGACTCTCATCATCAGACAATACTTTGACTTAATCCTATAGGCCTATAAATAGCAATTCATGTCTTTTACATTGTGAGGATTAATTCAGGTGTACTTCACTCTTCAATCAATACAATTTGACGATGATGGCAAAATTCTCCCAATGATATCTTTTATGCTTATCGTTCATTGTTCTTGCCTCAATTAGATCCAAACTTCTTCCGCTCTTGCATTCCATTAGATCTACAAATTGGGAAATTTGGAATCAACAGTCTCTTTTGGTTTTCGCAAATGCAATACAACAACAATTCTTCATTACCTACATATAGATGTTTAAGGACCGACTAACACTAAATCTCATAGTGGAGGTCAGTACTTTGTCTTTTTCATTGATTATTATTCTAATAAATTTTGGATATTTACCATGAAATACAAACTAGAAGTTTTTGAGAAGTTAAAACAGTGGTTAGCCTTGCTGGAAACTCAAATCGGAAGGAAATGGAAGGTGTTGAGATTAGATAATGGTGGATAATTCAAAAGTGGTGAGTTTTGCAAAGAAAGGAGGATCCATGGACACTTCACCACTCCACATGATCCACAACTGAATGGAGTAGTAGAACAGATGAATCAAGCATTGCTAGAGAAAGCAAGTCGTATGAGGTTAACCACCGGTTTCCGTACAGTTTTTTGGCCCGAAGCTTTATTTACGGTCGCACATATAATTAACCATCTCCCATCATTGACGATTAATGGAAAGAATCCAGAAAAGGTATGGAGAGGTAAGAAATCAATATGTCTTAGTTATATTTGTATTTTGGAGTGCTCGGTGTATATCCACAATGCAGGAAAAATACAAACTTGACAGTCATACGGTACAAGGACGTTTACATGGATATACGAATGGAGTTAAGGGCTATAAAATCTATAATCTTGAGACAAGGAAGATGGTACATTCCATACACGTAACATTTGACAAGGAAAGAACATCAAGCGGTTCATCTCTCACATCCCTTCAAGCATACCATTTAAAAGAAGGTAAGGAGATCATTCAAT